AAGTATCTGGTACTATCAAAGCAATCTGATTTTTTTTTCCAGACATCTTCTTTGACCATTGTGAAATAATACAGTAAGAAACAACATGGGTTAATGATAGTCAGTATTATATATTTTGAAGAAGTGAAACAAGGCAATACATAATTCTTTATTCCCATAAAAATGATATAATGTTTCGGTAAACAATCTTGTGGTCTGCTAATAGGTTGTACAGAAATACCACTTTGTAAATCCTCAAATCTCTCATTTCCATTTTAGGAATAAAAAGCAAGTCTAAAATGACCACAAATTCCCAAACACTTATTATGTGTCCTAATACTTTCCGTTTGAAATATGAGTATTGCAAGGATGTTAGGCAAAGAGAATGATAGATTTGGGGCCTCTCTATTTAAAATAATGAATGCTTTTAATGTTGAAGTTGAGTGTAATACCCTTCTGTATAAATCAAAGTCTGGTTGTAGTTCTAAAAATAAAAGAATTCCAAGAAAATTAGATTGTTGCTAAAATATAGGGCTAATATCACATACAAGGCGTATTTATTCATTTCCTAAAAAGTACAGTTGTAATTTTTCATGTTATGAGTGCAATATTTTAATGGCAAGTGCTACTTGTTTATTTGTTTGTTTATTTGTCACAATTAGATATTACTCACTCACAGAGTTTGCAAAAAAGCATACATATTTTGATAGTCAAAGCATCTTCTATTTAGCAAACAATAGTATATAGTTGATCTGCACCCACCATTTTGGCTTTGAAGACATGGGTCCCTATTAGGAGTGTGGCACTTTAGTGATGGCTAATGGAGTAGATGACACCCCACCTACTTCTTAGGTGCACTTTGCTTCCCTTCGTCTTCATCATCGTTAATTTTAATTGAATTTTAAATGTTATGATCCTTATTCATTGTTTTAATATTTTCTGGTGCATTTTAATTGAATGTCTGTAACCACCTAGAGTTGTCTCTGCTAAGATGGGCGGCATACAAGTTTAATAGATAGACAGACAGATAGATAGATAGATAGATAGATAGATAGATAGATAGATAGATAGATAGATAGATAGATAGATAGATAGATAGATAGATAGATAGATAGATAGATAGTATAGTCATTGCAACAGGCATTATTGGCAGTTACTTAATATATAAATCAGGGTATGAACATGAAGAAAGGACTATGTGTACTAACATAAAGGGATAATGAAAGGTGTAGGTTCCTTTACACCTATTCCCTTATCTCTTTAATTTAGCTTGGTTAGGTATTTCTTTACTTTTCTAGAAATTTTATGGAAGAAATTTTGTGAAAGGCTGTTTGTATATGCTTAAGGTACAATATATTTATAATGTAGGACAGATAGAGTACCCAGCTACTCTTAGTCAATATTGGCAAATCAAATAAAGTCAGATCTGATTGGTATTCAGACATGAGACCTCCTAGATATGCTAGGGCTAGAGACTAGACAGGGAAGAGACAATATTTTACAAGGGAAGAGAACAACAGCAACTATTTCTTAAGACTGCGAAGAAAATATGTCAATGAAATCTTCCAGAGCTAAGTTGGCTCAAGAGAAACTTAATTTCTTTTCAAATGCAGATGAAAATGCTCTATTTTTTTTAATCAAGCTTCCTAAATTCGAGGATCAAAGAATTTCAAACCAGATTTAAGCTGAAGAATATGATGGAAAGATGCTGGTCATGATATCACAAAGACACTATGAACAAAAAGTAATCTAATGTTATTTGGGTATTTTAGCCATAAACAAAACTAGAAGTTCAAATGCATAAGTTAGATTAAAACCAAAGGCGTTGGAAATATAGAAAACCTCAGTTGAAAAAAAAACCCAACTCACAGTGCTGAAGCAAACTGTTTTCCATGATGTTTCATATCATGTTTCAAATGTACTAGTAATGCATTTCTGTATACATTTCATGTTTAGAGAATTTGATGTGAAATTTGAAAAACCATATTTTGCTTCATTTTCTTATGGTAAGCAGATATTTAGTAACGAGTTGTGCAGGACTTTTGAATTTACAGAACTAAAGTTCTTTGAAGCATGCAGTGGCATGAACATAGCACTGGTCAGCAACTCCTTACAAACAGTTTTTCCTTTTCTCTCCTTTTAAATTAAAGGATAAAATGGGATACAGTTTTTTATAGAAATAAAATATTGATTTAAACCTTGTAAAATATTGCCTTTGAATGAAACCAAGATAAAGAATGGTGTGAGTTGTATATTAGAAGCCGCTTTGGAAGGCATAGAAGAAATTATGAAACACCTCTTCTCCAATAGTTAAAGCATCTATGTCTTTTTCCATGCTCATGCAGACCCTCCCACCTCTTTCTGCATCCTTCTGCATCCATAGCCACTTTGCTTCATATCACTCAGAAGAAGGTAAAATAATCAGGACCAGTTTCTAAAGCAGCCACGAAAATCCTAAAATATGTTACTTTAACTATTTAGAAAGTGGTGCTTTGTATGCACTCCTACATATTAAGAAGAACTGTTTCAAAGGCTGTCCATAATTCTATAATTTTGCACAAATGATGGACACATAATGAGAATACAGTAAACAGCGAGACAGAAGGCTCCTGCAAATACTTTAAGTACTTGTTAAAGCAGGGGTGTCAAACTGCTGGCCCACAGACCGTCCCGATACGTTGTGCAACGTCACGTGACGTCACAAGTTTGACATGTCTGTGTTAAAGGAATCCTGTCATAATTTAAATATGTGAAATACAAAATAACAGACACAACAAATGTAATTAGTTGTAATAGAGTTTTAGCAGGTTTTTAATGTTTGTTTTTACTGAAATTAGAGAAAATTTATTTCAGACTAAAAAATGGAGTTAGGATTTTAACTCTGAAATATTTGTTTTTGCTAAATTCTTGCTAATACTTTGTTGTTACATGGACATTAAAAAATTGTATTGTTAGGAAGCATTCTTTGATTTTGCAAAGGTGTTATTTTTACAATTCTCTATCAGTGTCAGTTTTTGATATGCTCTTTTGGTCTGCAAAATCTTCATATAGAGCAGGGGTATCAAATTCGCAACGTTATGTGAGGTGTCTCGATGTATCGCAACTTTTTTGCCATTGCCAGCAATGGTATGGGTGTGGTTTTGCTATGATGCATCTGGCCCATGGGCCAGCAGTTTGACATGCCTGATATAGAGATTTAAGAATGCCACTGCCTAAAGGCAAATTGAAAAAAAAATCTATATAATGATATTGAAGTGACATTTTGCACAACAGGGATATGTAAGTTGATGCTTAAACATGGCTGCCAGAATAAATTATGTAATACATGTAATAATTACATAATGTATTGCTTATCTTTCAATAGTTTAGGAGCCCAAAAATCTTAAAAGAATATAAGATACTCTCTCTCTCTCTCTCTCTCTCTCTCTCTCTCTCTCTCTCTCTCTCTCTCTCTCTCTCTCTCTCTCTCTCTTTCATTTTCCCATCTGTTGGTCTGCTACTGTTTCACATCTCTCCTTTTGTTTCTCTTTTCTCCTAGTACTTCAATGAATATGTGAGTCCAGGGCATCACATAGCTATTTAGATGAAACTATGGTCCTTAAATAGAATCCTGGGCAAGATGTTTCTTCTTCCTATATTGATGTATCACCAGCAAGCCATACCACTGCAGCCATGTCACAGTACAACATAGTACATTTTGGCATTCAGCCAATGAAGCAAACCCCTGAAGATGTACAAATTTAGTTATCCATTAACTCTCCTACAAATATTATATACCCGTGGTGGTGAACCTATGGCACGTGTGCCACAGGTGGCACGCAGAGCCCTCTCTGTGGGCACACATGCCATCACCCCAGTCCTAGGCCATCAGCTGGGTTTTATAAAACCTTTTCGCTTTAGGCCTCTGCCGCCGTGTACAAAAAATAAAGGTTCAATCAATTAATCAATTTCAACTTCTCGTGGGAAAAAAAAGATCTTGCAAAGTTGGAATTGATTGATTGAACTTTTTAGTCCCATCCAGTCTGCCGTTACCACCAAAGCCATGCCCACCCAATGGGCCACAGCCACCCAATGGGCCACGCCCACCCAATGGGCCATGCCCACCCAATGGGCCACGCCCACCCAATGGGCCACACCCACCCAATGGGCCATGGCCACCCGGAACCCTACGATACATAAGTGGGTTTTGGGTTGCAGTTTGGGCACTTGGTCTCTAAAAGGTTCGCCATCACTGTTATATACCATAAATATACAGTTGATAATTTTTTTTCTTTGATATTCTTTCTAGGTGATTTTGAGAAGCTCATACTTCTTCCTGTCACTTATAGTTGGACCCTTAAAGGAAACATCTACCCAAACAAACAAGGCCTCTCATGGGAGTTTTTTGGTGATATTAAACCCAGAATAAACACTTAAGAGTTTTGCCAATCGTTTTCTTTATTATTTTTATTCCATTTTTGGCAATGTCTGTTTCAACAACATTTGCATCCAAGCTTTAGGATGCATTCTTGAACATTATCCATAAATAAGAAACAGTCAGCCTTCAGTTGATTGGTTCCAGATCCTAATGGTCCTAAAAGTGACAAATGTTTATGTATTTTAGAAAGCTGCCAACTATTTATCTCTATTACAGACAATTCGTTTCTGTTATGTAAATATTTAGATGAATACATATATCATTACTAAACATAAACAACATATAAAATCTTAATCTGATTGTGCTAGTGAATATTTTTGTTCGATATGATAAAGGAAAATGTACATGGTTCCTTCAACATTTTGTACTGCAAAGACTTTTAGTAAGTTTAGTAAGACAATTTAGACTGTACATAACTTAGTAGGAAGAAAAAAATGAAAAAGTGTATGAGTCACTTGGTTGAAAAATTGTGGTTGAACTGACGCTTGAGGTTTATTTGTTAGATCTTGCTAAGGGTTATAAAGTGAGTTGGGGAAATGAAATGTCTGTTTGCAATCTGGACATTGTTTAGAATAATGTCTCCTTTTAGAAGTCTGTTGTTTGTGCTACAGCAGAGCTTGAACTTTTCTTAGGTTGCTTAAAGGGGTTATCTCTCATTCCATGGAGAGAACAGATGGGTTGTCTTTTACCATTTTCAGCCTCCACCTGCATTTGATTAGAGACAGCAGCAGTTTTACATACCCCATGCCAGAATACCATAATGACATAGCAGCTTCAGACAACAGCGTGACTAGGATTTTTTTTCCCTAAACCCTTGAATCACAGAGGATCTAGCAGCCAGTTACCATCTGACACTGTTTATAGCATATATTGTTCGATCCACTCCCTTACTGAATCTGCTGTGGGAATTAAAGCAAGCAGCTTCAAGTCAGAAAGGTAAGTTCTCTTGCATGTTTTAACACTTAGAATCAAGCAACTGAACAAAGCAGCACTGAGAATACAACTCACCTTTGTTAGTTTACATACTGGACACAACTGCTTTTGTGTATTTGTTTTCTGAGTTTATGGTAAAATGCTCTTCATGTATGTGGGTTACTGTCGTATTTCTTTGCAGAATTTAATCACTTCCAGAAGATCTATTCCATACAAATGGCAAACCATAGGGAGGAACACAATATCTATCTAAAAATATTTCCATTTATTAGCAAGAACTCGTATATTAAATAGGTGGATTACTTTGAAAATTGCATTGCTAAAACAATATTCCATGTTACTGAAGAAAATCAAAATTATTTAAGGTTATTTGTCTAGCAATGTACATGCTAATTAACCTTTTATGGAACTGCAGGTTTTAGTGTGAAAGTTTTAAAAAGAAAAGTGTACAGAATAAGATTTCCTCTTTGTAACTGCTAATGAAAAAGTTTTTTCCATCTGAAGGAAGGTGCCAAATGACAACTGTAGCCCTTGCATGCAAATTTTTAGCAGATGTTCACAGGAATATATTCAAACATTTGTACTAGAGAAATATCACTATATTCTGCTAACTTCTGGTTCTTGCTGATCTTTTAGGAAATTATATACCCATCTAAACAAGTTTATGAAATGTACACAGAGCAAAAAAGGGTCTCACAAATTTCAAAAAGTAGAATCTTGCATGAAAAAGATTACCCTTGATTTTTTTTATATTCATGGATTATTTACATGATTAATTAATGTAATACTGCACTTCTAGTTGGAGAAAGATTACTATATTAGCATCTTGAAGCAAATCTTCTTTAAGCCTGAACAATTGAACTATAATATTTTAAAATGTTTAACTAAATATTAATATATCTTATTAATATTTTCTAAGGAATGGCTTACCAGTCCATTTTCCTCTGTAATGCAGTAGGTCAAAGGGATACAATAAGTATAAAGTGGTACAAATATATCAGAAATATCTAAGAAATATTTCCAAGGCCAAAGTGTGTAATTCTAAATGAGGTCTTATTTTATTATATTTCTATTGTTTTCTTTTAAATAGAAGCAGGAAATGTTGCTATATCATTAAAGGGAAGATTGTAAAGTCTCTCTAATCAATTAACTCTGATCAGTCTATTGTAACTTCAACTAAGGCTACTCATGTACAGTTAATACTATGTTCTTATTGAAAGACATTTACAATTCAAATCCGTACAATGAGACCTACACTATAACCAGTAGAGATCTTTCCAGAATCTCCAGTAGCAATTCAATTACACAAAACCATATTAATTTCACACTATATATATTTGATATATAAATTTGCAAGCCACAGAATTGCCTGATGTGTATAAACATTTATTAGACAAATTAACATATTCTATAAATGTATGCCAAAATTCATAACAATTACTTAGTATTCACTGATCAGAACTAAAACTTCAGTTATTATATATTCAGCTATAACTTATCATATTACTTCAATTCTCTTCTACCCCCATTTTTTTACAACTGATATTGTTGCTAGCTATGATATTTTGTAATTCTTCTCTAGTGGAAAAATAGTGTCTTAAACAAAATATTTTCTTTTAGTTCATTAATTTTTACCCTCCTTTTCCACTCAAAAAGAGAATTGGCGAAATAATAGTTTTGGGCACATTAATGTAGGAACTTATTTCTTATAAATCCAAGATGTCCTTCCATGAAGATATAATTGGCAAAGAAATCAAGTGATACCAGATTATATTGTAGTATACCTATCCATTCAAATGCAGCTGTGGTAGCTTTACTTCAAGGATGCAAATTTCATTATAACTCAGCTGATTATTTTTCTAATACTAAACCTCTTACCACAAGCATCTTCAATGGAATAATTTCATGGGGTTGGTGGTTCTTACGGACTCTGAAGCCAACACATATTTTCTTATTTAATAGAGTGATTAATTATTTTTAAGCTGAGAATTAAATAACTATACGGCTTTTATGCTGGCAACTGAGTGAACTGCATCTACCCCTCCCACTGTATACTCTGTGTGTTGGCCAAACCTACTCCAAATTTTTGGAAGATGCTGGAATAAAACTAGACTGTGTTCAGGGGACATAACAGAAACATTAAGAGCAAGAGGATATCCATTTCATGAGAGGAAGTCTGTTTGCATACTATTGAATATGGCCCTTATCCTAATGTACCCGTATTTTTCGCTCTATAAGACGCACTTTTTCTCCCCCAAAAGGTGGGGGAAAATGTCTGTGCGTCTTATGGAGCGAATGCTGCCTGGAGCTGAAGCCTGAGTGCAGGGGAGGAGAGCATATACTGCCAGGGAGCCTTACGTCACTAGGTGGCGCTCTAACACAACACCATCGAGTATTGCTAGAAAGGAAGTCGCGGAGAGGAGAAGGGCTTCCTTCCTTTTCCTTCTCACCCATAGGAGGATGTAGGAGTGTTCTTCCCAGGCTCGAAACAGCAAATGGAAGGTGAGTGGAAGGCAGGTTGGGGGAGAAGCCTGGAGGAAGCGAAGGGACAAGGCTGGAACATGTTGGCTGCTGCAGCATATTCTTTCTCTTTCCAAATGTTATTATCCTTATGCTGCATGATTTAAAACTGCTACCTNTGGCCAGTCAAGAGAAAAGGATTAGGGTTGACATGATAGCAATATTCCAGTATTTGAGGGGCTGCCACAAAGAGGAGGGGATCAATTTATTTTCCAAAGCCCCAGAAGGCGAGACAAGAAACAATGGGTGGAAACTAATCAAGGAGATATGTGCGTCTTATGGTCAGGTGCGTCTTATAGAGCGAAAAATACGGTATATCAAAATTGTAGATAACTAGTCATGTCTGTTTCATACAATTATCTACAGAAGTTTCTGTTTATTCATTAAATTATTGAAATGTATTATTCCACATGTAGTTTTCACTGATATATACATTTGCTCCTAATTTATCCTCAGTAAGCATTAAATCATCCATAATAACAATTAGGGAATGCAAATTGCCTAATTTACATGAAAATGCAGAAGGAGAAAAACTTCCTTGTGATTATTTATTTATTTATTTACATTTGTTATAGCTACCCACCTCTAATAGACTCTGGGTAGCATACACAACCAAAAAAATCCATAAGCCTCAATAAACCTAATTTTGTGAATGTAATTATTTTTTTAAAAAAGAAAAAAAAGTGGGTGTTCCTAAACCACCCAATATAAGGAAATGCAATATTTTATGATGCTGACAATAGGCATATAGGCATGTATCTTAGGAACTTCACTGTGAAACAGACAAATGTAATAAAGTAAACCATTATTAGACTTGTTTATACCAATAATATTTTTTACTGATGCCATTTGCCCCTTCACCTGTCCTTAGGTTTTGGCTCTTTCTACTTACCTGGTTTCTGTGGTCCATGATCTGCAGCACATCCTTATATTTCCATCATGTTTTCCTTTTCCAACAGCTCTTCTGAAGCTGAGCTAATTAGCTTCAGGTTCAGTATAGTTTCTGCATAAACATTAAACATTTTGCAGCATTAAGATTAAGCTGAAGGACACACAATTTACCACATGAGAATTCATATGCAATCCATCCTCCTTATCTCCTTCCTCACTCTTCTGTGGTTAAGATGCCACAGAATCTTTCATTATATTTCTTAAACTGAAAAAAGAGGTTCTCTTTTTCTCTCTACATACGTATACATGTATGTATGTATGTATAGACACACACAGAGAGAGAACCTCTTTTTTCAGTTTAAGAAATATAATGAAATAATTGGTAAGATGCTGTGGCATCTTAACCAATTATGCATACTGTCAAATCAGAGATTGGTGGAGATAAGATGATAGGATAGGATAGGATTGATGATAGATGAATAGAAAGATGTTATGATAGATAGATAGATAGATAGATAGATAGATAGATAGATAGATAGATAGATAGATAGATAGATAGATAGATAGATAATTTGAGGAGAGATGTTTTACTAATCACACAGATCAAAGCAGTAATGTACCATAAATAAAATGAAAATGTTAAAATAATACAATAAAAAACCATGCATTTAATAAAATGGATAACAAGTCATATTAAGACAAGTCATATTAAAACATATTAAAACTCACTCTGTAAGTATTACCAATATTAAACTGAGAACCCTTGCAATTCAGCAAAAAATGGCAACCCTTTTACATATTCCTATAGACAGATTTGCTAGCAAAAAGAAAATATTTCCAGATCAGCCAGGTGCTATGCAGCAAAAATATTTGATCCTGTCTGAGTCATCCCAAGCCAACAAATATACAGGTAATTGGTATGAAATTTATTACAAAATCTCCCTTCTAGAATCATGAATAGAAAAACATTAAGTCTAGTCAATAACAATTTGTCTATGTGAGATGGAAATTAAGTAAAGTAAAAAATTGTCACTCCAAATCTATGTCAGCCCAAAAATGTGTTGTCTTGTTTCTGAAGTGGCTTTCTCGAGCCTCAGTATCCTAAAGAATTTGGATGAAAACTTTCTTGGTCCTTTTTTCCGAGAAGAAGCAAAGTTAACATCTACATGAAACCACTGGACTAGATCATCTGTCAGTACAGAATTAGGGTTCATTAGTATGTGCATGATTTTAATATATCAACTTCAGAACAAATGGGAAATGCAGGTGAGGCTCTTAGATTCTAAAAGCAGACTTAGAACTAATGTCATCAAGATAAGAGTAATTGTGTCTGATAAGCTATCCAGTGCCAGTGTTGTTCCATTTTTGGTTGTGATTGTGATCATCCTTCTCCCCTCCCATCCATGTTGAACTGGTTTTGAAATTATTTTTACTTATTAGCAGATCACTGCTGTGGCCAGAAAGGCCCTCACATGGTTTTATCTTTTGTGCCAGTTATGATCATTACTTGATTGGGAAACCCTTCTCATAGTCATTCATACTTCAGTAACTTCTTGATTGGACTATTACAATATGTTTCATATGGAGCTGGCCAGGAGGATCATTTAGAATATATTGCTGATCCACAGCGCAGCAGTTTGAATAGTTATGGTTATAATTAGATTGCCATGTAACATCAGTACTCTGAAAGTAGCCTAGTTAATAGTTGACTTTCTGTGCAATTATAGGTGTTGGTTGCCACTTTTAAAGGTCCATATGGATCAGGACCTGGATATCAGTAAGATTGCTTGTATGGAAGAAGTTGACTCCAAGTATATGAAGTAGCTTTTAGTGTGGAATAGTGGAAGGCCAATTTTTTTCTTTGCCTTCATTGCCTGGGACCAGGCATTCTTAACCTTCTTGTGAGACTTTTTGAGATATTTGAGAAAAATGTATTTATTAAACATACTTAATAAAATTAAAAAATAGACAGATATAGATTTGTACTATAAATAAAACCAATTATACTCAAGTATAATTATCAATATATTAAAAATAATAATATAATATATGTGCACTTCTTTATTAATCTATTAAATCAATAAATGACAAGCTAAATTTCAGTTAGAAAAACAATTTGTAATAGTTTTTCTCATCTAAGTTCACAGACCTCCTGAAATCTATTCATAGACCTATACTAAGAATCCATGCTTTGACCCCCCTACCTAAGATAATTGCATTTCTGGTAAAAAAAAAAATAGAAGATGAAAATGAGTTTATTTGGAGAATGTATGGAGAAACCTGTTGCTACACAAAACTGGAATACTGGAATTAAAATAGAAAACTAAATATGCATCCATGTCTAACACATTTTAAGATAAGTATTGAAACAGATTTACAAGATAAACTCATCTAACTTATAGCAACATATTTAATTGAAAAAAGAGTAATGTATAGTTTTTTTGCCAGTTTAACCATAGGTTAATTTGGTTACCGGTAGCTTAGACTTGTTGAAGACAGTATAAACTGTTTCATGTAATTGAACAGAAGACTGTTCTTCCAAATACTGAAACAAAATCCTTTATCAAACATTAACCAATCAGTTCTAAAGCCAACTTAAACTTTAGACAGCATCTTATCAAGAATAACATGAATGGGATCAGAGTTAGCAGATTGAAATGGAATGAGATCTTGAAGTAAATATCAAAATTCAAAGAAAGTGTCAATGCAGTATTCATCTACTGTAAAAAAAAAAAGTCCAATAGCATAATAGGAATAATAAGAAAAAGTATTGCAATTAAGGAGACCAATATTTTAATGCCCTTATATAAATGATGTGATTGCATCTGGAATATTGTGTGCAGGTTTGCTAGCCATACTCAAAAAGGAGCTAGTGGAACTCAAGAAAGTTCAGAGGAGGGCAGCTAAGATCAAGGGGATGGAGTAGAATCACTATGAGGAAAGGTTGCAGCAGTTCTAATCTGAAAAGGAAGCCAACAAGATGGGATATGATTGAGATATAAAAAATTATGCATGCCATGAATAAAATGTATAAGAAGCAGCTATTTCCCTTTCCCAAAATACTCAAACTGGAGGTTATCCAATTAAAGTAAATCAGGAAACATATTTTTTTTCACAACACATAATTCAGTTTTGGAATTCACTACTATAAGATGTGGTCTAGCTACTAGATTGTCTGGCTTTGCAAAACGTTTGGACCAATAAATACATTGATCATGAAGATCAATGGCTAATAGTCTTTATGATGGTGTGACTGCCTTTGAAGGCCATCTGCTGGGAGAGAAATCTGCTTCTTTGTACAGATGGTTAGCTATTCTGAGAACTAGTCCATGCTGGACTAGATGGGACAGGGGTATGATCCATTATAGCACTAATTATGTTGTTGTATTCATAGTCATTCAATACATTTCACATATAGACATCCAGTCCAGTTTCTTTCCTTTGGCATATGAGTCTTACTTAGCCTGAGTAACAAGGGAAGACAACACTGGGAACCACAATTCAGAATACATAAAACCACCAACTGTGGTTTTTCTTTTCTTAAAATAGGGCTTTTGTCTAAGATCAAATGATGTGTTCATTCAAAGAGTAGCATAAGAATGGTTCCCAGAGAATCTGGTCAATATGAATCTGGTGAATCTGACCCTAGATGAATTTATTTATGAATTAATTTATTTAGTTAATTACACATTTAAAAAGTGGAAGAATATAAGAATAAATTTCTTGGATTAAGTTCAGCATTTTGTTTTTCACAGGCCAATGGTGGAAACAAATCCCTCTCCCATTGTTGTTCTCTACAACTAATATCTGGGAAGTCTCCAGCCCAGAGATAGCATCAAATGTATAGGCTTGATCATAAATGTATTCAATCCTATTTCTCTATTTAATTTAAATACCACTCAAATTGCATGATTCCTGGCAGTTTCCAACTGAAAAGTATATCTATCTAAGTTAGGTGGCCATCACTACATTTCTTGATAAAATATCTGAAGTATTCACTATGTTTTTTTCCCTGTTCTAAATATCCTTCCAAACTTCTATGCTGGATGATGTCTTGTCCTAGCATTTTGAGAAGCAGAGAGATAGAATTCTACTTTTCTATTTTTTTTTTTTTTTTGTAATTTGCATGATTTCATTCAACAACACAATGTTCCCTTTAGAAGCCCTTTTTTGAAACTAAAGAATCCCAAACAATCCAGCCTTTTCTTGTAAAGAAGATATTGGATTCTCTCATAATCTTGGCTCCACTATTATATCTTTTTCTAGATATGGTGGGCAGACTATACCCATTTTTCCAGATACAAACACATGTCATATTCATATGAAGGCATTAAAAACATGTCATTAATAAATAATTCCTCTCATAATAAATGCATTGAACATTATCCAACATTTCTCTTTTTGCCAGTTTTGTATTACCATAGCACAATGTATTATCCTATGTATACATTTGTTTATGGATTTGCTCTCTGTTTTTTTTTCCAGCTGAAATTAGTCATTATACTGGATTTATTGAATATGCCCACCATAAAATAAATGATGAACCAGCATTTTGTAGCCATTATATTTTGATGGATGAGCCACTAGGTAGACTATCAAGTAAACTACTTAGCAATATGTGTATGCTTCTCAGTTTTTTCCTTCTTGACTAAAGCTAGACAGATATTTGGAAAAGAATGGTTGGCCCAAATGATCCATTTCCTTAATCTCTAGGAGTTTTCAGTCAACATTTTAGCAATTAGAATTGTTAATAATATATTAAATTTCTCTGTACTTTCATATAAAATTCAAATCATCCATATCTAATAACATTATAACATTATAAAAAGTTTATTTTCCATATAAATATTTAATAAACATTGCCATGTCACATCAGAAGTTTGCACTTATGGCCACTTGTATTATTTAGTCATTGATCAAAGCTGTAAATACTTAATATAATGTTAGAATAATAACCTATACATATAAGCATAATAAATGCTTCAGTTTTCAGAAAGTTATTTATATATACAGAAGTTATATATTTTTTTGTTTTGTTCTTCTAATATGCTTCCTTATAACGACTTTGAAGTAACTCTATATTTTCTATCTCTTTAACAGACACAATCCTGACTGCGAAGATGTATCTGACTTCTCTTCCTTTCTTCCTTCTCTTGATCAGCGGCATCTTCTGTCAATATGATTACGATGAACAAGATTTTAGCATTTTTTATTCAATGTTAGAGCTATCATCTGCAGTCTGTGCACCAGAATGTAATTGCCCTATAACCTACCCCTCAGCCATGTATTGTGATGATCTTAAACTGAAGAGTTTCCCCATTATTCCTAAAGGAATCAAATACCTGTATCTTCGCAATAATCTGCTTGAAGGCATAGAGGATAATGCTTTTGAGAACGTGACAGATCTGGAGTGGCTAATTCTAGACAATAACCAACTGAAAAATTCCAATATTAAAGGCAAAGTCTTTGCCAAATTAAAGAATTTAAAAAAGCTGCACATAAATCACAACAACTTAACTGAAGTTGTTGGGCCACTTCCCAATACTCTGGATGACCTGCAACTCACTCATAATAAGATTTCAAAAATCACCCCCAATACACTCGAGGGACTAGTGAATCTGACTGTCATTCATCTACAGCACAATGAACTGACTGAAGGTACACTCTCTGGAGTTTTTAAAGGCTTAAAATCACTCTTGTATCTGGACTTGAGCAATAATAAACTGACTAAACTGCCTACAGGACTGCCTAATAATTTATTGATGCTGTATTTTGATAATAATCAGATTACCAGCGTTCCTGATCAGTATTTTCAGGGCTTAAAAGTACTGCAGTATTTACGTCTTTCTCACAATAAGTTGACAGATTCTGGAATACCAGGCAATGTTTTCAATATCTCTTCACTTGTGGAGCTGGACCTCTCCTATAATCATCTAAAGAGCATTCCAACAGTCAATGAGCACCTTGAAAACTACTACCTCCAAGTCAACAAAATTAGCAGTGAGTAATATTTACAGAGAAAGAGTGGGGGGAGGAAGAGGGAGAGAGGTGTTGGTGATAGTTACGTAAATGAGATAACAGTATATAATTCTCAATTTTCATATAACCATTTTATCCTAGTCTTTATGTTCATTCCATCTCTTATTAAAATAATAACTATCATGATAAAAACCTGCAATTGTTTCAAAGAATAATTGGTAATTATACATGCTCTAGCTAGCAACAACAGAAGTCCATAGATCCTGCTTTCATTTCATAATGTGAAAGCCTTCTTTTCTGGAAGTAATAGTTTCAAGCCATTTCTGGATTTTGACCGATAATAAATTATGATGATGAAGATAGTCATACATATAATGGCCCATCAAGACAGTTTGGACAGTTTTTTTTTTAAATCATCATTTACTTTTACTGTCAAACAAATCTATATATTTTCTATAATCTGCTATATAATACATTTTATTCATCAAGCATCATTGCTCAACTTTCAATAACTGTATTGGTTTCCATGCCATTTATTATAGCAATTTCAATAAAAAAAATTAACTTCACTATACTTCTCGCAATAATAGTAATAATAAAAAATAATAATAATTCGGTAATAACTATCCCCAAAGCTATGATTACTGTGCATATTGATCTTACCAGGGTATGAGGATTCCTAGAATAATAATAAAATCTTTGAAAATACTAAAAAACAAATTAGGGAAATAGTATAGATATTAACTCTACTACATTCTGTTACTCTCAACAAGAGATTAAATAAATACATTAAAATCTCAATATAACTCATTCAGTATTATTGTAACGGGAAAAAAATATGAAGTAGAAACTGGAAGTCACATATTTAATGGTTGCTATTTCCACAATCAAACAAGTGTGGCATTAAAAAAATGTGGGAAAAAAACAGTTGAAGAACCAGTGAAAAGGATATCAAAACTCCTCCTGCATACTTATTTGAGAATAAGTCACAACAACATTCCAAAAACCAAAACCAGGCAAGACAACAGATACTGCTGCACATTTTTACTATTTTATCTGTAATACTAAAACAAATACGGTACATGCATTCTAGAAAAAAATTTCTGAGTTGTTGTTGGCACATCTTATAACAAATATTTGTGGCCATAATATTATAGCTTCTTTGCAGCACAAGAACACAGTCTGGAGGTATCCAAAAGGAAGGATGTAAATTTATTTATTTAGCATATGGCATACAATGTCAGGGAAATCTACAAATGGTAGACACAATGCAGTCCTGACAGCTTACATTGCTAGTTCATTGTGTTTAGTGTTGCGAATCTATCCTTGGTGCATTGTGGATAACAAACCAGCTTTACACCAATTAATTAGCAGCACTCTGGTTGCTGACTCTTCCGGGCTCCTCTGCTAGTCTTGCCTCACCTTGTGTTGTGATGTCTCACGTCTGGCCAGGTCTAGTGCCCGCTTTTGTTCTCTTGCATATACAAAAGCAGCTAGGCTTTCCCCCACCAAAGTTGTATTCATTTATCTACTCACAGTATTGTGTGTTTTCAATATGCTGGATGGCAGGAACTAGGGATTGAGCAAAGGAAGCGTACTCCATCTCACGGAATCAGGCCCAAACCACCAAAATGCAGACCATTCTTGGCCATTCCAGCATCATTAAGCCTTTACGCCACCACGTCCCCTACAAAGGATGTAAAAATCACATGACATACAGACCATAGAGTAAATGTATCTTAGTTACGATATGCCACATTTCACTGTATTATACTACAGTAAAGACAAATAAGGCTTGTAATTAATATCATCATGCTGTATTGGTATTGTAGCATCTGTTCATCTCATTGCTTACAACTAAAAATTCCTACGTATATTTTTGTGTATTAATTTTTCAAATCAAGATTTTAAGAATAATGTCTGATATCTGGGTGTAATATATCTATGTAATATATCTTACAGAAAATAGAATTTAACTAGCTGTGGTACCTAAAATCTGCTAGAACTCCTGGCATTAGTTAAATCTGGAAACATTTAACTAGGCTGATTGTGAAAATTATATTCTAATATTATGTTGTTTACATTACAGAATTTTCAATGAACAGCTTTTGTAGGGTTGTCGGGATACTAGCCTATTCCAGGATATCACATCTGCGTCTGGATGGAAATAATATCACAAGAGCTGATCTTCCACAGGAAATGTACAACTGTCTCCGAGTGGCCACTGAGGTTTCTTTGAAATGAATTGTACAACGCTTTCTCTTATGATGCTGTACACCATGGTAATACTTTGGTACTAAAATGTCACCTGGTATAAGATCTTTTGTTTTGTTAATAAACAGCATTATTGTGTGGCTATTTTTTTAATGTGTATATTCTAGAATGCCTGTGATGCAGAATTTTTTTGTAAAGCTAGAAAGTCCCATAGATTGCGGACAAAAAATGTTCTCATGTTTATTTCTTAGACTGTTTTATTAACACAGCTATATACAGCCTGAGTTTGAAAAGGGTTTTTTAAAAGCACTGGTGTATACTCACAATAAACACACACCACTCTCCTTGTGGGTGTGAACTTCTACTCAGGTTTGCAGAAGTCAGGCATATTCTCATCAAGATAGTATATTTAGTACTTAGGGCTGGACCAGGTATGTACAGTAGTAGTTCACACTTTGAGATAAAACCTCCTGTTTTATACTTTTGATTACAATACATAATCAATACATATTGTTTTATTACATAAAACAATAATTCAATATAGCTATATAAATTCTTTATATATAAAGGAAAATAAAATTAAATATTCCAATCAGCATATCCGTGTGAAGAACTGAGAAAATAGCAACATTTTAAGGTTTTTATTTTATTAATGCATTTTATTTTGTTGTGACAATGTTTTATTGAGGTCGGTTTAAAACTTTAAAGGAATGGTTATTTTACAGTAAAAATTCTATTATTGTTATACTCTTATTTCTGCATGCTATATTAAATGACTTTAGAAAATAAAAACAGCAAATGAAAAATATTGAGTGTATATTATTGTGAAAATAGATTTTCATTTTTTTAAAAATGTAGATTGAAGCAAACTAAAGTTTTTTTTTAAAAAAAAAACACTTTGGTGAATGTAATGTTACATTCCCATTAAATAAATTGTTTCATGCATTCTAGTTTTTAAAGATCTTCAAAAAAAACTTTTTAATGATTGTTATATCAGGCTTTGAATTCTGCTATGTACTGGAGAACAGGTCTATGACAACTCTCCAGGGCCAACACGCCATGGGTCAACTCACTGTGGATAAGAGTTACACTAGTATCAAAGAAATGGTGGAATAGAATCATTAAAGAAAGGATGCAAAAGGAGGGAGGAAATGAAATGTAAATGGCAAAAATTAAAATATTTTTTAATTTATTTTAAATAATTAAATTCAATTTTTAAATGTCCTGCTGCGAGTTGTCCCTCGGTGAGTTGGCCATGACGAGTTGTCCTGTGGTGAGTTGTTTCATTCTGCTGGAGAACAGCTATGGGTTAAAGAATTTACAAATTACCATCATAAGAATCCCTAAATATCAATAAGATGCAGTTTACAGACGACAGGGAAAACATTTATGGCATAACGTGCATTGCTGAATTGTATAACTGAACTGAACAACAGCACTGAAAAAAAGTGACTTATGATTGTTTTATGACTTATGACCATTTATCACACTTATGACCCCGTGGTCATGTGATCAAAATTCAGACGCTTGGCATCTGACTCATATTTATGATGGTTGCAGTGTCCTTGAGTCATGCAATCACTTTTTGCAACCTTCTGGCAAGCAAAGTCAATGGGGTAGCCAGATTCACTTAACAACAACATGTTACAAATTTAAGAACTGCACAGTAATTGAAAAAATTGACTGGATTTGTCATCTCCAGTTAAGGTTGAAAAATATTCATAAATAATGACTAGATGTACACAGGGTATAGGCATTCTTTTATGAAAACTTTAATCTCAGCCTTGCTATGAGATTTTTCACATATGTCACGCAATTCTGAAAAGCCTTCTTTCCTGACGTGTGCACATTGCTCATAATCTACAACCGAAGAAACTCATGAGCCAGCAGTTCTCTGTCCAGGAGATGCTTATAGTTGCTTCTTTTTGCCCTAACTTCTGAATGTAAGCCCTACTTGTGAATGCAAGAAATAGGTGGAAGATGAAAAAATCTGGGGGGTTTCTATCACATCCCTTGAAGCACAAGCAGTAAAACACAGCCATGGGAATTTGTTTCTTAAAACAGACTCAATAAAGCTTTGCAAAATGAGAGGCTATGAATTTAGATTTTTTTTTAAAGTTTGTAAATTCATGATTATAGTGATATCTTGTTCCTGTATTTGGAAATATGGAAAATCTAAACTGTAGCAAGCAATGCATTTGTTTTCATAGGTGTCAGTTTCTAGAATTAGGTGTTCCAGTTGAAAGAAGTTGCTGAAGTTCTTATGCCAAGTTCTTAAGCTGAACTTGGCAACTTCAAGATGTGTGGACTTTATCTCACAGAATTCCCTAGCCAGCGCGTTGAAGTCTACATATCTTAAAATTGCTAACGTTGAAACCTTTTGATACACTAAATATTGCAGTCTGGAGTCTGTCCCAAATCCTTTTTTATTAGCTTGCATTTTATTCTGACCTTACATTTGTACCTAAATGTATAAATGTGTCTCCAAAAGGATCAGGCTCTGTTATTAACTCCCAAATTCCATTTTGGTGTAAATTTTTCTGGGTTATGTTTTATAGACAGAATCTTTATCTAAAAGCTCTTTGTATAAGTTCATATGTTTATAGCAAATAAGCAAACTGAAATCATTCCAAAAGAATCAGAGGACAGAGGGGAAAAATATATATGCACAGACTACTTTTGGAAGAAACTAAATTTATCTGGATATTGTTATAATTTCATTCGACTTCAACAGGAGCCAAGCCACATCATCACCAAATATTGCCTTTTGATTTTAAACTTCTAAGAAAGCTGATATTCCACTACCCAAAATATCAGACAGCCAATATGTTGTTTTTTCTTCTAAAGGTGGTTTTTAATTCATTTTTTGAAACAAAGGTAACCCATCCCTTTTCCACATTCTTATTCATCAACAAAATAATAAATATAGAAATTAAAGGTTCAGCTAAATTAGATTTCTTGGATTCTACTCAGACTTCCAAATATCTTGGATTGGTTATGTTTTCTGATACTGTTTAAAACATATCTTATTCAGTGTTTACTTCTCCGTTGTTGGTGTGTCAAATGCATGTATTAATTTGCACACAATTTTACACTCATATTAAAGTATCAGTCCAATTGGTGTTCATTCAAAACTCAGTGATATACTGAAGTGCATCATTTGGATTCTTGGCAAACAGACTTCAAGACTGGGTATAACATGGAAGTTTGGCAATCAAAGCTTCAGTGTCCCTGCTTCATTTGTCTGATACTGCTGAATGCCAGGTTAGCCAGTAATACTCTCAATTATGATATGATCCTGAATTGTGAGGTACCATATAGCTAAATTATCTTCCTATTCCTCTTTAACCTCTACACTAAACCATTTGGTGAGGTCATCTGTCACCATGGAGGTAAGTATTATCAGTATGCTGATTTTACCTCAATTGTATCTCTGTCCTATTTACCTAAACTGACTGACTCACAACTAGTGATTTTTTTATTGGTTCATAATCTGGGGTGTCTCCTGGAGTCTTTTCTTCCCGCTTATGCAGCCGGTGGCAGCCATAGCCTGGACAGCCTTTGCACAATTGCATTTTGTGCACCAGCTATAGCTGTTTTTCAGTTGGGAGGTATTGCTCATGCCAGCTTAGTTACCTCCTGATTGAACTATTGAAGTATTCTCTACTTGTATTGGGGATTCCCTTGAAAAGCATTCAGAAACTTTAGTTGGTCCAGGACTCAGCAGCACATTCATTATTTGGCACATCTATTGCTATGTGAGCTGCAGGGGCTACCAATAGATATCTAAGTTCAATTCAAAGTGCTGATTATCATCTCAAAAGCCTACATGGAATGGGGACAGGTTATTTGCAGAAACACCTCTTCCCAATTGTTTCTATATGTCCCACTAGATTAGGTATCATGGGCAAGCTCTGGCTCTTACTGGTAAAGCAGCGTCGTTTTGTGGGGTTCAAGAAGTGTGCCTTGTCTACCATGATGCCTGTATTGTGAAACAGCTTTCCCCCTAAGATTTGGAATTGTGGATTATCTTTGAAAGATCTGAATCAGAGGAAGGCAGCCCTCTGAATCTCCATTAATCTCCAGTTTTTGATACCATTAACCATGATATATTTCTGGACCACTTCCATGGATTGCTATGGGGAGTACTCAATGATAATGGCTTTCCTCCTTCTTGAAATACTGTTTCTAGTTGGGGAGGTGTGACCTACCTGGAGATGTTAATTTTTTTAAAGTGCCTAGGATTCTGTACAATGTTTGAATAAAACCACTATGGGATGTTATTCATTAGAATAGGGTTCACTATTATCAGATGATGCCACACAAGTGGTGACCCAGTGTCTGAAGGAAATAATAGAATCAGATTGTATCTTCCAAGAAGGGTTGGCTTTTGTTTTATGGGTCAAATGATTCTAAGAAGTACTATATATGATTCTATATGGAGTTGTACTCCCCCATTTAAATGTAATTCACAGTTTGAGAGTGTTTCTTAACTAGTAGATCCTTCTCAACCAGCTGTTGGCAGCTGTGTCAGGAAGGGTTTTGTCTCCCACTCCAGGATTGAGACACTCTTCTTACCGTCACTCATATCTTAGTTACATCCTGCTTGGATTACTTAAAAATATTTAAAACTATGGCTGGTATAAAATTGATGAACTGGGCAGGGACAGCTATCCTAATACATTCAGGTGATTCACTACTTTGGAGGCTGCATTGTCATTTGGTTTTTGGATATTGTTCAAGGTCTGTTTATTTGAGGGACTGCCTTGTCCTATCTGCCTGACTGATTAAATCCAATCAGGTCAGCTCTCTCTCTAGGTTTTTCTATACAAGATCATCATGTGATGGTAGCTAAATAATTTTGCCAACTGCAGGATATAACTACTGAATAAAATAAGTAAAAAAAACGAATAAAAGATGCCATATTATATTAAGAATTACAATGAAATTATTTTTCAGAGAAAACTGATCAAAATGAGAGAAACAGAACTGATAGAATAATAACTAAAGTTTGTTTCCAATTTAGCCTTTGTTTCTTCCTCTTGATGTTATTCTTCTAATTAGAGTTGTTTTACGGAACTTATGTTGTACACAGATTTATCCAAACAAGTAAGGTGAAAAAAACCCAGTGCCAGTCAGT